AAAAAAAATAAAGATATAAATGCTGATCAATTATATATAACTATAAAAAAAATCTTCAAAGAAGTAAGTGCTAATCCAGAAAAGAATTACATACAACTGGTTAAAACCATTTCAAAGAAGAGAATACTAATACAGGAAAGATGCATTTTCTTTTCTGGTAAACAGTTTAAAGTACTTTACATAACTGAAGAAAGAAAAATAGAGTCCTAAGACAAACAACCAGTTTTTCAGGCTGGAGGCAACTGATATCAGTTTTACAACCACAATCCCAAATTCATCAACACTACCCTGTCACAGGGGTTCAAACTCACAGCTGCTACACTAGAAAAGAACGGGTAATCTCCTCCCATGCAATTAACTGCCCCTGGAAACCCACAAGAGGTCACACCTAGATGGTACACAACAACATTATTATTGTTAGAATAATACAGCAACTCTGGAGTTTGTGTATTGTTAGTCAAAATTTCTGGGCCTTGAATTGTAATACTAAAGCCCCATTTTTCATATTCTGTGTGAAAGTTACTGTTTGTAGAGATAAGCACCTAGCAACTCTGCTCACTACAAGGGTTCGGGACAAATAGACATCCTCTGTAACCATGGAAAAAAGATAACTAAGTTGAAACAAGACTGAATAAGCACTATGTTAGAGTCAAGCTTTGTTTCAGTAAAGATATAAACTTCAGTAACAGAAAAAGTTCTATAACCTTGCAGAAGAAGTTCTGTAACCTTGGATATCAATTATGTAATAAGAATTGTAACTTTCTCAAATCCACCAGATGCTCTGCTGAAGAAGGAGGAACAATCGCCTCCTGTACCAGTCAGATCCAATTTGACGGTTGTAGTTGTTGTTGTTATGTGCCGTCGAGTCGTTTCCGACTCATAGCGACCCTATGCACAACAGCCCTAAACCCTGCTCTATCCTGCACCAACCGCACTGCCTCTGACACACACATCCCGATTACCCCAGTCACTGAATCGATCCATCTCATAGGGGGTCTTCCCCTCCTGCGCTGTCCCTCCACTCTCCCAAGCAT